CTCCCCGCACCTGCCGCGCCCGGCCGGCAGCGAGCCCGGGGCTGCCAGCATGCGAGCCCGGAAAACAGCAGTAGAAATGCCGCCTTCCTAACTAGAAACATGCCAAACCGTAATATCCGTGAAGATCCCATTACCTAGGAAGATTTTTGACGTTTTTGCTGCGAAGGCTGTGTTGGGATTGATTTATCCTTGGAGTGTTCTGCACGGCTGGCAAAGAATAATGTTCCAAAATCGGTCCGTCTCCCAAGGGGTCCAATTTTTCTTCCTGGGTGTCAGCGAGCCCTGACTCACTACGGTGCAGCTGACAGGGGCTGCCATGCTTGTGGCACACTAAGCAAAAAACAAAAGACCTAAGGACGACCTTTGAACAGCACAAAGGATGGGTATGTTTTTCACGTTATCTTTTTAATTTATAGTTCATAGTTACTGCATAGCCTGTGCTTTAATTACTCCATAGACTTACCTTGATGTGATTTCTTATTATGCTTAAATGGCTTAGGGATTGCACCTTTTACCCGACTGTTTTTCAGTACTTGTAGCAAGGTATTCTTAAAAGACAAAAAAAAAAGAATAAAATAAAAAAAGCTGAGTAAAAAAGAGAAACAGAAGAAAAAAAAAAAAAGCCACTGTGAAAAGCAGTCAAGTCGAGCTAGGGCTTTGTAAATGATTGTTAAGTAGAAGATTTTAGCATGTTTGAAAGAAATGACTGATGTGTGGGGGGATAACTTTTCTAAGTTGTTTTTATTTCCAGGTTTCAATGTAATTAGGCTACTGAGCGGATCAGCTGTAGCTCTGGTAATAGCCCCTACTGTATTACTGACAATGCTTGCTTCTGCTGAACGAGGATGCCCTAAGGGCTGTAGGTGTGAAGGCAAAATGGTATATTGTGAATCTCAGAAATTGCAGGAGATTCCCTCAAGTATATCTGCTGGTTGTTTAGGTTTGTCCCTTCGATATAACAGCCTCCAAAAACTAAAATACAATCAATTTAAAGGTCTTAATCAACTCACCTGGCTCTATTTAGACCATAACCACATCAGCAATATTGACGAAAATGCTTTCAGTGGAATACGCAGACTAAAAGAGTTGATCTTGAGTTCCAACAGAATCTCCTATTTTCTTAATAATACCTTCAGACCTGTGACAAACCTCCGGAATTTGGATCTGTCATACAATCAGCTGCAGTCTCTGGGATCTGAGCAGTTCAGGGGCTTAAGGAAGCTGCTGAGTTTACATTTGCGCTCCAATTCCCTAAGAACCATCCCTGTTCGAATATTTCAAGATTGCAGGAACCTTGAACTGCTGGACCTGGGTTATAATCGCATCCGAAGTTTAGCGAGGAATGTCTTTGCAGGTATGATCAGACTGAAAGAGCTTCATCTGGAGCACAATCAATTTTCTAAGCTCAACCTGGCACTTTTTCCAAGGCTGGTCAGCCTTCAGAACCTTTATTTACAGTGGAATAAAATCAGTGTGATAGGACAAACTATGTCCTGGACCTGGAGCTCGTTACAAAGACTTGATTTATCTGGCAATGAAATAGAAGCTTTCAGCGGACCCAGCGTTTTTCAGTGTGTGCCCAATTTACAGCGCCTCAACCTGGATTCAAACAAGCTCACATTTATTGGTCAAGAAATTTTGGATTCTTGGATATCTCTCAATGACATCAGCCTTGCCGGGAATATATGGGAATGCAGCAGAAACATTTGCTCTCTGGTAAACTGGCTTAAAAGTTTCAAAGGGCTGAGGGAAAATACAATTATCTGTGCCAGCCCCAAAGAGCTGCAAGGGGTGAACGTTATCGATGCGGTGAAAAACTACAGCATCTGTGGCAAGAGCACCACGGAAAGGTTTGAGCTAGCACGAGCTCTCCCAAAGCCAACGTTTAAACCAAAACTCACCAGGCCTAAACACGACAGCAAACCCCCTCTGCCCCCGACCATGGGGGCCACGGAGTCGAGCTCAGAGCCCGAGCATGACACGGAGCACATCTCGTTCCATAAAATCATAGCGGGCAGCGTGGCTCTGTTCCTGTCCGTGCTGGTGATCCTGCTGGTGATCTATGTGTCGTGGAAGCGTTACCCTGCCAGCATGAAGCAGCTGCAGCAGCGCTCTCTCATGAGGAGGCACAGGAAAAAGAAAAGACAGTCGCTGAAGCAAATGACTCCGAGCACACAGGAATTTTATGTAGATTACAAACCTACCAACACTGAAACCAGTGAGATGCTGCTGAATGGAACGGGACCCTGCACGTATAACAAATCAGGCTCCAGGGAATGCGAGGTATGAACCATTGTGATAAAAGAGCTTTTAAAAGCTGGGAAATAGTGGTGCTTTATTGAACTCTAGGGACTATAAAGGGAACGTTTCTCTCACTTTTCTGGCACAGCTCTTCCACGTCCCTTTTTTTGTACATTCATAATACTGGTCATTTTGCTCTCATACATAATCAACTCATTGAAATTTAAATACCGCAATCAATGTGAAGCCTGAGCTCTGGTTTAATACAATACCTATTGTACAAACCCTCTACTGATTTCATTAAACTCTCTCCTGTTTTTAAATAGAAAACTTCTTTCCTAAGTAATCCACTGCACCTGCACCAACTGTGCCTCTGTTTAGGGAGAAAAATGACAACAGTGAAAAAAAAATTATAAAAACAAAGTCAGGGCGTCCCCCTCTGCCTCCCCAACCCCAGTCCTTGCTCTAAAACTCACTTTTTGAGCCCAGAATGAAGTAAAGACCCAGGTACTCTAGCATCATATGAATTCTGAGTTGTCTGAGGATAGAGATGGTGCAGGAGCAGCTCTGAAAAAAATGCCTGATTGCTGCCCAGCACAAGAAAGACTATAAAGCACCCTTAGGTATCACACCAGAGGCAAAGCAGAGGGAAACCTAGGCTTAATAAAAAATTAAAAATGAAAAGGTACAGTGGGGTTTTCCTGTAGTGCATTATAACACAGTGTTTCTAGGGCTGATAGCTAGCAATTGGAACCTGTTTGTGTGACTTCATACAAAAGGTGCCAGTGTTTATCCCTACATCCAGTTGCCTTTCAGAAAATAGTCAAAAGGCATTCATTAGATGAGGAGCAGAAATTCCTTACTGATGCAATTAGAGGAACTCAAATGTGCAGCAGCAAAAGCAAGACCACTTCCTGCACACATTTGTTTCAGCTCTCATTAGGAATTCTCTTTTCAAGCCTGTCAAAGGCATTAATGTAGCTGAGGAAACCATTAAAATCCGTCATTTTCCTCTATTTCTGTTTATTTGCTGGGCTAGGCTTGCTGAGGTTCTGTGTTATGTTTTGCACAGGGTCCCTCCAATAACTAAATAAAGTTTCATCACTTAAAATGCCAAACACTCTGCATTTTAGACATACTACAGCTGCAAAGAGCTTTCAGAGAAAACCGGTTACTCACTGGTGTGAGAGGAGTACACCCAAAATTCCTTTTACATAAATCAGTGACAAATCATTTTTCTCTCTTACCAAAACCCTAATGACATTTCAGAATTCACAGATACTCAGTTTTAATGTCTTGTCATACCCCAGTGGATCTGGGCAAAATACAGATTTATAACCCAGCTGTTCCCTGCCTTCCTTCTCCCCAAATAATGTATTTTGTGGCTGCAGAAGAATATAATCCCCCCCATATTTTCAAATAAATCATATTTTGATTATCAGGATTATCAGGAAGGAAGGGGATGAAATAATACAGCAGCACCTTTATAGAATATAGAAGCCAGTAATTTAATTATCTCTATTTTGCAACTGGGTTTGGCTTTGTAAATCCCACCTGGGAGGGAATATTTCTATGAGGCTGTTTCACTGCAGCAGATTAGAAAAAGCAAAACCTTAGCAGAAGGTTCTCCTGAATTGTTGCTGGAAAAAACCCAATCACAGCTGATCACCTTGAAACATGCTTGATACAATGAAAACAAAGCTAGAAAAGACACACCTGAAGGGGTTTGGGCTGGGTTTTTTTTTGTTTTTTTCATGGAATGAAACCATTGTCATTTTCAAGGAATGCAGTGAGGGAATAGCTGAGGGTGGAAGCTGAGCCCTACAAGAGATTTCCCATTTCCCTGGGTACAAGGCCCCCACACCATTAACAGTGAAGTGCTTGAGACACTTGAGCAGCAGAGCTGTGCCTGAGCTGGACCTTGGAAGCTGCTTTTAAAAAGTCAATATACATTTAATTATCTCAGCTACCACAGGATTCCCTTTTCCACCAGCACATCTTGGTGATCTCTGTGCTGAAGGATTAGAGTTTGCTATAAACTTCACGTTCAGAACCATCCCTGTACTTCAGAGGCTTTCATCTCTGCAGTGTGACTAACATTAGGCACAGCCAAAACACCAGAGATTTGCCCCAAAATGTGTGGATGTTCATATAGACAAACACACATGTGTGTACAAATATAAATACATATAAAATTAAGATTTTATATTTAGTTTTAGGAGTTCTAACTGCAATCAGAAAATAATTTCATACCATTCCTTTAGAATTTTTGTTATGCAAAAATATTCAATACATCTTCTAAAACTTCTTACTGGACTGTGATTGTGAGAGTGGTCTGTAATTGGGTTGGACTTTATATGCTTTCTTTTGTGTTTCTTTAATGGCATTTTCTAAACATAACTGCTCAGAAGGAACCAATCCACAATCTCCTTCAGAAAGTGATACCTGTAAAATCATCACCAGTTCCCTTTGAAAAATACTCAATTATAGGCATGAAAAAGCAAATAAGGCCAGTCTGCCATTTATCATGGATGGATAAAATAGGATAGAAATAAACTCCAGCATCTCCATTCATGCACATTGTCAGCTAATTCCTGCATTGCCTGGAGAGGCCAGCTGCAGGTATTGCCCCACACTGGCAGTACGGGGTCAGTGTGTAACTGCACAGCCCAAGGCCTGTGAGCCAAGCTTTGGGATCCCAGTCTAGTGCCTGTGCCTTAGGAATCCTCTTCAACCACCTTAAAACTCGTTGTGAACTCCATGTTTTCACATGGGCAAAACCCACGTGAACCCAGCTAAACTGAACCTTGCCACTCGTCACTCCAGGAGTCACTGGTTTTGGGTGGCAAGGTCCCCAGAGTCACCAATTCTAATTTAAATCCACTAAATCATCTTGTGGGAATGACTTTGGTCTTAGCTGAGCAACTTGGAGTCCCTGTGCAAGGCTGCCCCTCTCCTGACTGCAAATAAACCCTCAAAGGCTCCAGCAAAGAAATTCCTCCTTTGCTTCTCTCCTGGAACTAAAATCTTGATCCCAAGCTTTGTCTTGGTTTTTTGGATGGTTTGGTGCCAGTATCTCCCAAAACTGTTAAAAGCTTGGGGTGATGCCAAGCAATGCTCAGAGGATGTCAAAGTAAGAGCCACAGCAGCAGCTGTGACACCTCCCACAAAGCTGGGAGCCTTCACAAGCACTGCAGGCACCACCCTGAGGAAGGAGATGTGACCGAGTGCCTCCAGTGACCTGGCTCCTCCTTAATGGAGCTGACACCACCTAAATATTGAAATTTCAGGAGAGCAGCAACAGGTTTTGAGGATATTTGCAATTTTATTTTTGTTTTTCTGTACGTTTTTGGGATTTTTAGTAATTTACTATTCCTTTTCCTGGGAAGTGTGTGGTGTTCTGGGGCTACCACTGAACACCAGGGCTTTTCAAGCTACACACACGTGCAGGATTCTTCCATGCCCACTGTCATTTTCACTGGGTTTGCATCCACCTGCATTCTCGAGACAAATGTCAGATGGAATCACCAGACTGCTCCATTTTATTGTAGCACCCCAAAAACGTTAAGGGCAGTCTGACTTTCTCTGTGAGACACAGAGATGATGGCAAAGAGATCTGAGAGATGTGAGGTCATTTGTTGGGTCTCACCAGCAGTGCAATCCAGTCCCCTGCACCAAGACCTCCTCCTCCTCCTCCTCCTCGCTTGGCCTCTCAGCCACTCGGCTCCTGGAATATTCAAGTGCTATTTCAGAGCAATAAGCACACAGAACACACATCTCTGGGAAAAGGAAATAACTAATGTGCTAAGCAAATTTGAGGAGACTGGTAATGTTCATTCACTGTGTTGAGATCACCTCCAGCAACTGCAGAGTAAGAGAATAATAATGAGAACAAGTGGCTTGAGTATAATGACTGCAAGCTTCTCTGCTGGCTGCTTTTCATGACTCACTATCTGCACTTCCAGAGTCATCACAGCTGAAGGCTTGGCAATGCTCTCTTTTCTTATTGCTATCAAATGGTGAACCTTGATATAAAATCCAATTGCAAGATGAACATAAATGTACAATATTCCTGCAAATACAATTAGAAATTTTCAGTTTGCTGCAAGCAAATGGTCTTTGCTGTCAGACCTCAGTGCTAGATAAATAGTCTGTGGATGAATTTCTGTGGAACAATAGTGACATCCAGTGGGTAGGGAGCTTAATCACAGGTATTTCCTGCATAAATCAATTCACACAGAGATGTGTTTGCCTTTTCCCTTGGCATCCTTCTGAACCACACGGGAGAGGCATCAAACTCTTGCAGCACAGTGATTTCTCAAGTGGGTCTGTGCACAGGAGCCATAACCCACATGCAGTGAGGACAGGGAGCAAACAGGAGCAGATGAAATCTGCCAGGGAATGGTCTGGCCAGTGTGTCAGTCACTACTGCCAGCAAAAGTGTACAAGGGCAGGAGCTCTAACAGGTTTGTGGCCACTGGTTTAGAGTTTATTATTTATAAAACACCCCTTTACTAGACTAGAAAATCAATTCAGGCCACAAACAACTCATTCAACTTCCTAACAACAGAAAACTAAAGAAAGTATTTCTTTTTAGTTTATTTTTATCATAATGAGAGACAGATATTATTAGACATGAAAGGAAGGGCAACTCAACACCTGGGAACAAGTCCAAGTTAGAACTTCCTCTCCAAACCACACGATGTCCAAAGAGACGAGAACAAAACGATGCAAGACCAAATTCCCAAGCAACAGCGAAGTCATACAGTGGCAAACATGACATAAATGTGCAGCAGATTTGCTTGGGCAAAACGTTTTGCTGGAGCTGCTCCAGGTCTCACTAACTCTGGGCCAATGTTACTGCTGTGATCCTAAAGCACAGTGAAGGAGAGAAGACAATGAAGTCAGAATTACAGCTCTGTCGATAAGACTCAGATTTCAGTGCCCCTAAGAAGGAGCACAGGAACTCATTTCAATCCACCCTGCAGGAAATACAGCTGTAATTGTGACTTCTGATGCCTCCAGGTGCATTGGGAGGTCAC